TCACCGTCGTCGGCCAGAACGGCAAGACCAGGAAGGTATGTGCGCTGCTAGACCCAGGATCACAAACTTCTCTCGTTGCAGAAGATGTCGTGGAAGAACTCGGACTCCAGGGGGAGCGCCAAACTTTGCGACTGAGAAATGTTGAAGGGAATGGCTCCCAGCAGCGCACGAGACGTCTGCAGTTAAATCTGCTGACTGAAACAGAGTAGACTTCCTCTCCCTCAGTCAGCAGATTTAACTGCAGACGTCTCGTGCGCTGCTGGGAGCCATTCCCTTCAACATTTCTCAGTCGCAAAGTTTGGCGCTCCCCCTGGAGTCCGAGTTCTTCCACGACATCTTCTGCAACGAGAGAAGTTTGTGATCCTGGGTCTAGCAGCGCACATACCTTCCTGGTCTTGCCGTTCTGGCCGACGACGGTGACCTCCACAACCTGGAGAAGAGTAGTGACCTGTTCCACAGGCAGTGACGACGCAGCAACCACCCGTTGGCCATCAGGCTCTGAGCTCGGCACCGACCGGCTGGCCTCTGTACCGAGACCGACCCTCCTGCTGCCGTGCAACACCAGATGGTGCCTCATTTCACAACCCTCGATGCCACATCGCCTTGCAAAGCGGCACTTTCTGACGGCGTGACCTGTCTTTAAACAGAAGAAGCAGGCACCTGAGCTAGCAACAAAGGCAGCTCTCTCATCCACTGACTTGCTGAGGAATGCGGGGCATACAGTAACGTCATGGGCAGCTTCACAGCAGATGCAAGTCTTGCCGGCTCTGTTCTGTGCTTCAGTCGCCAGAGCCGTCCGCTGAAGAGCATGTTCTCCACTGGCTCCCTGCGTCTTTGCTTCACGCTTCTTTTCGGCTGACCGCCCTCCATGCTGTTGAGAAACAGCCGCGAAGTTCAGCGCGATCCTGACCTGTCTGCACAGCCAAGAGTCTAGATGGAGCAGGCTGGGCTTCTCTGGTTCGAGGTTTAAGACATGTTCACCCCACTCTCTCTTCAGTTCAGTCGGTAGCTTCTCTACCACACGTCTCAAATTCTCATAACTGTACAGGTCACCGTCATGCCCCAGACTCTGGAACACTACTACAGCGCAGTGGACTGTGGCTTGAAACTGTTCCAGGCTGGCAGGATCGAGATGAGAAGGTGCCGGACAAGAGAAGATGCTGTCGAGGTTGGAGTGGATGATGTCATCATCTCGGCCGAATCTGTCCTTTAGTACTCTAACTGCCTCCTCATACAGCTCCCCTCTATACAGCATCCCTCCGATGGTCCTCTGGGCCAAGCCAGTGACAGCGGCCTGCAAATGAGCCATTTTCTCCGTGGGGGTCAGAGCTGGCTGGTCATGGACCAAAGTGCGGAACAAAGCAAACCAGTTCACCCACTCGCTCGTGTCGCCGGCGAATGTGGGCAGAGTGAGTCTGGGGAGGCTGCGATGGAAAAGATGCTCAGGCTGGTAGACAGGGGCAACTTGCACCGGAGCAGCTGCACCCGGGGTAGAGTACCGTCTCGCATCCTCAGGCATGGGACGGCCAAGCACGACCGGGTCGGGTGGATCACTGCTTACCACTGAATGGGCTGGTCTGGGAGGACTAGTTGGACGCTGCGGCACTGTCTCTGCTACACCCGGAGTAGAACATCGTCTCTTGTCATCAGGCGTAGGATGGCGAGGCACAGCTGAGTTAGGCGAGTCGCTGCTTGTCACTGGATCGGCTGGTCTTGAACTAGCTTGATTAGCTGGACACTGAGACACTGACTCTGCTTCCACGGGGCGGCACTCATAATCCACTGGGCACAGAACAGCTGGCTCCCCGACAAAGTCGTCCCTCCGCTCCCAGCTGAGACCTCCCTCTGCGTCCTTCAACAGCCGCTCTTCCAGCCGTGCAGATGCTTCCGCATCTTCAGCCTCCTGAAGCTGGCGTCTTCTCCTCATATCCTGTTCTTGCTTCTCCAGCTCCAGTCGTCGCCGAAGCTGTTGGAGCTCCAGCTGCCTCACCTGTGCTGTTATTCGCGCCCTGCCGGGGTCAGTAGCCTTAGATGAGACGCGACTCTCTGCAGTCACTGAAGGCGCTTCGTCCTTCCTACCTGCCAGGTGCTCCTGAATGCGGACCACAGCAGCCTCATGCTGCTCTCTTACATCCTTCATATAGAGTTCGGCAGCCTGCAATTCGCCTTCCTCCTTGAGGCTGGCCACATACTTGCCGTTTGCTTCTTCGATTTCTTCCAAAGCCACATCAAGTTCTTTGAGCGTCTCGGCGAGTTGAGTTCGGCTGCCTTTACTATCTATGAGAATCAATGCACGTCTCCTTACTCTTGTTAGCTTGCACAGCCTTCTACCACGCACGGATTTCAACGTTTTCGTCTCGTCCATGTCTTGTATCTGTCTTCCAATTGATTGCACAATGCACAGTGCACGGAGTTTAAAACTGTTCCGACATTCGGGAAAAAATGTGGGTTAAAATGACGGTTTCTATTAACTCCATTCAACACCAAAGCATCAGAGCCGGTTCAACAGCGACTACATGATCATTGCAGCTTTAGTTTACATGATTGAATAGGTTTTAAACTGTTCCGAGCAAAATTAAGCCACATTTACCACTTAACTCATTCTATGGCATTTCACGTATATGCAAACAGGTAAATCAGTGTCGTTCTTCCTTTACATGATTTACATTCGCTCGTTCTCACTGCAACTAAATATCGCTGAACACATATTTTCTCGCGGCTTTCCAGATGAAATACCTCCGGCTTGAGATGACGGACCACTAAATAAAAACACGGATAAATTGTCGGCTAGTCGCAACACCCCCCCCCCCCTTATACGTTCGCGGCTGGAAAAACACCAATACGGGCGAGGGTTAAAACTTAAAAACGTATCGCATCATCAAGCCTGCAGCGCAGGATATTGCCAAACAGAGCGACAGAATGCAGCTTCGTTGGAATAGAGGATGCGGCAAACCAGATTGGGCTTGCTCAGTTGACCAATCGTGTCAAACTGGAGCGTTGACCAGAGCATAGGGCGTACGACCAGTCCCCCGGTAAATACATCAAGCTGCAGCAAAGCGACATTTATTGCCGGCATTTCGACAGACGGTTGGGTGACACCAGACGGAATATTTATGTTTATGTGACCGACCTATTCCAGAACTGCAGACTGGACAGGAAGTGCCATTTCTGTACACACAAGTCGCAATCACTCGCTATCCATGGACACTAGAGATGTCATTTGGATACCAACCTTTTGGTATACCGATACCTACCAACTTGGTATTTGGTATTTCAAGGCCAGTGTATTTGGTATTTTGTTGGTATTATGAACCCTCACTAATGTAAAACAGGCTGAGAATTTGGTATATAGTTGGTATTTTCCTCATATTCCCAAGTCGGTTTGGTTTCGGCATGGTTTCGGTATTTTGCCATGGATATTGTTGGTATTTGGTTTGGTATCGGTATCTCGATTTTCCGTATTTGACATCACTAATGGACACCATCGGTTCAATACATACGGTTTTAATTTTTTTTTGTATATATTAGGATTTAGGAGTAGCTGTTATATGAAAGCATACCTGAACGTGCTCGTAAGTACACCTGCCCCTCTTCTTCTCTTCCTTACTCTCTTTCCCTCTCATCATGCCTAATAACTCTATAAATCCTCGGAGTATACCTGCACAATTAATTAAGTGCAGGTCACATCTGGTGGGGGTGAGGGCACGACCCTCCCCCTCGCCGTTTCGTCCCATAATGTAGCTAGAGCGTCGCAGAAAAATGATCGTGTGCGCCTTTACAAGGCGCAGCAATTGGTACCCGATTTTAAGGTCTCAGGTCAATCGGTGACCTCTAAGGTCAGGGCAAGTGAACCAAGGCACGGGTTCAGTTTTTCATAACTAAATTAGCAAAAACCGGTTGCAGAGCCGCGATTTTGGAATTATCGTATTCAACTCGCTCAGGCGCGTCGAATGTTTTTTTTTTTTGTTGGGGTGAGGTCAACTTGAGGTGTTGACCTCGGGTCAAGGTCAGGCCAACGCCCACAAGTCATGAAGCTGGTCGAAGGAGGTCATGTCGCATATCATTCGATTCCGCAGATTCGAATCGAATCGCAGATTCGATTCGATATCATTCGATTCGATTCCGTCTTCCTGAGTCTAGTTATTGATGGCTTTCCCGACTTGCTAGCTCAGTTTGAGCGGGAGTTATGGACGAAAAACTCTTATGACCAAAGTGACGTCATAAATGACGTCACGCTAGGTCAGCAGTGCAAAAGTGAAGCATTTTAACTTTCAAGGAATGCAATAAATCACGATTCCGTGTGCTTGAGATAGTTTGAGATTGTTCCCGGCGCTAAAATAGTAGTTTTCATTTTTCCTATTGACTTAAAATGGTGAGGTCACGTGATCGACCTGACCTCATGTGGTCTGTAGGAAAAATCCGAGATATACAAGTTGTGAGGCCTCTGGAGGATACTACATACTGCAAGTTTCGTCTCCCTATAAAAGTTTCTCTGGCACTGAGTGCGCTGCGAAGTTGCGTCATCCGAGGACCGTGCAGAGATTCACTTATCACGTCATAGGTCAGTGACCTGACCTGAAAATTCGGTTGGATGCGGCTTGGATCAAATATCAGCCATACCAAGTTTCAGCTCTCTTTCACCAGCGCGTCTAGAGCTATCGTGAAAAATCCTATGGGGGGGGGGGGGGACGGCACCCCCACCCCCACCCCCACCCGCCCCTCGGCCGGCGAGGAATATACATAGCACGACGTTAGATGCCCAGCTCTTCGTACGATATTATAGATGTTCAGTAAGGCGCGGCATTAAACAGCCAGTACGGGATTGAATATGTCCGTTATGACCGTCATTGAATAACCAGTAAAGCAAAACATTGGATGTCTACTACGGCGGCATTTAATGTTCATTTCCACTTTGAATTGTCAGTATCGCCTCGCCAACTAATGCCCGTTACGGCACTGTATGGACCAGTAAGGCACTGTATGGACCAGTACGGCTCTGTATGGATCAGTGCGGCACCGTATGGACCATTACGGCACTGTACGGACCAGTACGACACTGTATGGACCAGTACGGCACGGTGCGGGCCAGCACCGTACCGTATGGACCATTGCGGCACTGTACGGACCAGTACGGCACGGTATGGGCCAGTACAGCACCATATGAACCAGTACGGCACTGTACGGACCAGTACGGCACTGCCTGGACTAGTACGACACTGAATGGGCTAGTGCGGCACTGAATGGACTAGTAAGGCACTGTATGGACCAGTACAGCTCTGCACGGACCAGTACGTCACGGTATGGGCCAGTACGGCATGGTGTGGGCCAGTACGGCACCGTATGGACTAGTACAGCGCTGCATGGGCCAGTACAGCATCATATGGACCAGTACGGCACGGTATGGGCCAGTACGGCACGATATGGACCAGTACATCACTGCATGAACCAGTACGGCACTGTATGGACCAGTACCTACGGCTCTGTATGGATCAGTATGGCACTGTATGGGCCAGTACGGCACGGTATGGCCTACGACACGGTATGGGCCAGTACAGCACCATATGGCATAGGCGTAGGAACGTTTTCGAAAGTGGGGGGGGGGGAGGCCAGGGTCCCAGAGGTCCAAAACCTAACCTACCCCCAAAATCCGATTTCTCCTCGGATTTCGGCCACTTTGTTTTCGCAAACATGCTCAGAGGTAAAAAAAAATCGAGACAAAAAAAAAGAAAAAAAATGGTTGAAATTTCAGGGAGTCTCCCGTCCATAAACTCAAACTGATGGACGCGTTCCCCCGTCCTCCGCAGCCGTTGGCACCCATGCAAATTCCAGAGGCATCCAGCAACTTTTTCATTACGAGCAAGCGTGAAACGTGCAAAGCGAGTCTTTTCAATATACCTATAAAAATCAGCATGAACGGCCCAGCTAGGCTCAGCCAGGCCTATAACGTTTTTAAGAGGTTTTATATCAGCGACCACTGCAACTGGGCTGATTGACTATCACTTATCAGAGGCCGGTGTGGGACTTTTAGACGGTCTGGGCCTTCAGAGGCCAGTTTAACCCTCCACGGCCCGGTCCTATAGGTTTTCTACATACGCGCTGGCCGAGGGGGCGGGGGGCGGGTACGACCCCCCTCGCCGTTTCGCCCCAGGTGGAGCTAGCGCGTCGGGGTAAAACGAGCGTGTGCGCCGTTACGAGACGCAGAGATCGATACCCGATTTTATGGTCCTAGGTCAACCGGTGACCTCTGACACCGTTCCGTGCTTCTATCCTCAGGATACTGAAATCCTTCTCCTCCACACCGCAACCCCCTCCGGGCTGGACAGGCAACTTTATCTCATGCGGGCTGCTCCCTTGGAGCGGCACCGCTGCTCCCGAGGGAGCGCACCCCGTAGCCGGGTGCAGTGAGTGCCTTGGGGCTGGGTGGCCTGTCCTCTGGACGGGCTCAGCCCCGGCGACTCACTAGGGTGCCTGCCCAGACCAATGTCTCCCCCCTATATCCTATCATCCTTCCGGCTCTGAAATGGTCTTATTGGACCGAAAGGGCCGAACCCAACAAAACAAACAAAAACCGGTGACCTCTGAGGTCAGGTCAAGTGCCTCAAGGCACGGTTCCGTTTTTGGTGAATAACTTCGCAAAAAATGGCCGCAGAGCCGCGATTTTGCCAGCATCGTGTTCGCCTCTCTCAGGCGCGTCGAATGATATACTTTTTGTTTGGGTGAGGTAAACTTAGGGTGTTGACCTCGGGTCACGGTCAGGTCGGCGTCCCCAGGTCACGAAATTGGTCGAAGGAGGTCATGTCGCATATCATTCGATTCGGCAGGTCTTCTTGAGTCCATAGGTGGCTTTCCCGACTCGCTAGCTCAATTTGATCGGTACCTAGTTATTGACGAAAAACTAATAAGACCCTTATAACTTCATAAATGACGTCGCGCAAGGTCAACATTGCAAAAGGGACGCATCGAACCTTGCAAGGAGTGCATGAAATCACGATTCGGTGTGCTTGAGATAGTTGGAGATCGATCGTTCCCGGCGCCAGAAAAAGTTTTCAGTTTATCCCCATTGACTTATACCTAATGGTGAGGTCACGAAAATGACCTGACCTCATATGAACTTTAGGAAAAATCCGAGATATACAGTATACAAGTTGAGAGACTCCTATTGGATACTAGGTCCTCCAAGGTTCATTTCCCTGTGAAATCTCCTCTGGCAGTGAGGGCGTTGCGAAGTTGCGACATCTGAAGACCGTGCAGAGGTTCACTTATGACCACATGGGTCAGTGACCTGATCTGACCCGAAAATGCGGTTGGTGTCAAAAGATGCGGCTTGGATCAAAGGTCAGGTATGCCAAGTTTCAGCTCTCTATCGCCAGCGTGTTCGGAACTATCGCGAAAAAAAAAACTATGGAGGGGCGGCACCCACCCCCCCCCCCCCCGGCCGGCGAGGGTTAAGGCCCTCAGAGACCAGTACAGGGCCTGCAAAGGGCAGGATGAGACCTTAACCCTAGAACGCCTAGGGGGGGGGGTTGTATCAACCCCCCCCCTGAGGTTTTTTTCGAAGTGCACGCTAAACGGCTTGTCGTAGCGGGCTGAAATTTTCAATACCCTCTGGGGCAACCTTTGCGCATCTTTTGCCGAAAAAAAATTGATCGGGTCATGTCAGGTCACGGAGTTATGACGTCATAAGAGGTACAGCCTCCGGCCGACAGTTACCAAACGTGTGCGCCGAATCCCTAGGTTTTCTGCCGGTGATACCCACATTGTTTGATGGATCATGATGAAACTTCCCATGCATGTTGGGGCAAGCATTGGCTATCGTGTGGTGCAAGAAAATTGACCGGGTCGGTCAGGTCACGGAGCTATGACGTCACAAGAGGAACAGCGTCCGGTACTATTTTTGAAAAGCGCCCGAACCACTATTTTGCTAATTCTTGTCACCTCAATGGGAATATGCAGCAATATTAGCTTATATAGGGAGCAAATGGACCTCCCAAATCCAAAAATACAATCAGATTTCAAAAATTTAAATTTTGATTTTTTCGAATTTCTGCCGCCGACTGTGACCTTGCCGACTTCCGGCGCTCCCAACGCGCCATTTTTAGAGCTAGGGAAACGAAATACATACCAAACGATAGAGAATTGATCAAGGAACACGATAGTGAAGGTTTCAAGTCGATATCTCCCACCGTTTTGCCGCAATCGCCGCGGAAAGTTGAAAAAGTTTGATTTTTTTCGGAAAATTTGATCTTTGACCGGTCATAAGTAGGTCAAATGTTGACCTAGGACCAAAAAATATGCCACCAATCGCGAGATCTCGTTGAGAGCAATCCGTTGGTTTTTTCCACTAAGCTCTAAGACCTTCCGTTTCGAAACGCCAGGGGGGGTCGTAACAACCCCCCCCCCCTGGTCGTTCGTGTTATGAGAAATGGCCTGGTCGTGCGAGGGTTAAGATGCCGACTTGGGCCATCAAAGGCTAATGTGGGTCCTTACAGGCCAGTATGGGCCCTCAGAGGTCAGTGTGGGACCCTAAAATGCCGGCATGGGCCGGTGTTGGACCCCAGAGGCCAGCAGAAGACCCTCACAAACCAAGATGGGCCTCAGAGGCCGGCATCGGGTCTTCAGAATCCAGTGCAAGGCCCTCAGAGACTAATGCGTGTCCTTACATGCCAGCATGGGCCCTTAGAGGTCAGTGTGGGGCCGTAACAGACCGGCATGGGCGGGACTTGGAACCTAGAGACCAGCGGAGGGCCCTCATAGGCCAAGGTGGGCCCTCAGAGGCCGATGCGGACCCTTGGAGACCGGCATCGGAACTCCGGAATCCAGTGCGGGGCCCTTAGAGGTCAATGTGGGACCCTAAAATACCGGCATGGGCCGGTGTTGGAACCCAGAGACCAGCAGAAGGCCCTCAAAAACCAAGATGGGCCTCAGAGGCCGGCATCAGGTCTTCAGAATCCCGTGCAAGGCCTCATAGGCTAATGTGGGTCCTTACAGGTCAGCATTGGCCCTTAGAGGTCAGTGTGGGGCCCTAAAAGACCGGCATGGGCCGGCGTTGGACCCCTCAGGCCAAGGTGGACCCTCAGAGGCCGATGCGGACCCTTAGAGGCCGGCATCGGGTCTTCAGAATTCAGTGCGGGGCCCTCAAAGGCACCTAAAGGCTAGTCTTGGGACCCCAGAGACAGAAATGAGGCCACCAGAGGCCGGTGTGAGGCCCTCAGACGCCGGCTGGGCCCTTGAGGTCGGTTTAGGGGCCCTCAAATGAGGTCAATGTGGGTTCTCAGCGGTCAATGTGGTCGCTTGACCGCCACTGAAGGGCCCTCCGAGATCAGTGTAGGACCCTCAAAGACTGGTTTGGGAGCTGTTAATAGCTAGCGTGGGATTCTTGAGTCTCGTGACAATCGAATAAGGGCCAGAGCCCCATACGCCCATGGGGCCCATTGGTTGTTTGGGGGGGCCAAATGATATGATGGCCCCCTGATTAGCCTTTGGAGGGGGGAAGGGCATGGCCCTGATCCCCTCTGCGACCGCCACTGCACTGAAAGTGGAAGGGGGAGGGGCAGAAACAGACATTGCTGGCCCCCAGCCTGTTTGAACCGAGGCTGAGGCACGGTCACCCTGGCCCCCAGCTAGAACGCCTTTGACGAACTATGCCGACCCCAAGCAGATAAGGTCAAGCGTTGGTCGTTTGTATACGCATTCTCCTGCACCGTGCTAGTATTGTCTTAGTATTGCCTATACCTTTTTAGTGCTCGCTGTCCCGCGCCTCGTATTCAACAAAATGCTGTCACCAGGACTCACAGTCTTGTCTCTGATATGGTTTCCTTCATTGAGTGAAGGAAATTGCGGTCAATAACGCTGTAGAAACAAAAAGGAATCCTCATTAAAGGGCAAGCTGAATAGTTGTCAAGTTACCGGGTGGTAGGTTAGGTACAGACAGACACTTAAGTCAGCAAAAAGTGGGGGGGGGGCAGTTAACATTGCTGGCCCCCCACCTCCGAAAGTGGGGGGGCCATGGCCCCCCCGGCCCCCCTGTTCCTACGCCTATGCCATATGGACCAGTACGGCACGGCGGGCGTACTCGGCCGTCCGACTGAGGCACGGTGGCCTTTCATCGCGACCGACCGGTCGGTCAGGACGGGGCGCCACCTCCTCCCGTGTCGCCGGCTCCGAGCGGTGCACGTAAAAGGCGGCTCACCCAGGCCAGGTCGTCAGTCGACCCAGAGCCATCTCAGGAGTCAGAGCAGCAGACCCCAGGAGACCCAGGGAGCTGAACACAGAGAGACGCGAGAGGACAGCACAGAGAGACGAGCGCAGCCGCCAGAAATGAAAACGGTGAGAGAAGAGACTGGCGCAGAGCCAAAGGGAGCCAACGAGCCACATCAGCCGCTGATGGTGCTGGCACGGTTTTCTGCACGTCATAGCCTTTCAGGATCACATGAATAGTGCTTATTGGATAACATGTGCGACTTCGCGGTTAGATCACAAAGCAAAAACCGCTCTTTTTTAATCATTTTACGCCTTTTTATGTAAGACGTTTAACTGTTTAAAAACTCTATCAATATCAGGTTGAGAGGCTTATTTGATCTTTTGGAAACATGTCATTTATCATCATGCGAGCAACATCTTGTTTGCGTTCATTGAACAGCTAAGATATTTCTGCGAATAATCAGTTGCAAATTGCATAGGCATAATGTTCATCCACGCTAGTCTCGCTGCGAAAATATTTGACCTCGTAACACTGACGTCCTGTTTTGTCTGTTTCAGTTCGGCGCGATCCTCCTGGCCTCGTTGGCAGTCGCAGTGCGTTCTGATGGAGGCGGAGGCGGTCGTCATTTCGGGTGGGTAAACTCCGACTTTCGGCAGCTTTCTAACCAGCATCGCGTCAGCAACGTATAAATATGAGTCGCTGAGACTGAGATACCAAATAGGTAACCCTTGTAACTGCTAACTTGAGGGTTCCTCGATAAACATATCAAATAAGTCATGGTTTTGTAATGCTCGACAATATTAGACGATATGTGTGTTGACGGTTTTTGTCATCTGCACAATGTATTCAGAAGCAGTTTATGCACAGTTCGTCATGCACCGACACTGACCTTGTCTTTTCTCCCTCGCAGTGGTGGCCACGGCGGGTTCCGTCCGGCTCCCTTCCATGGAGGATACGGCGGCCCCGGCCCTATCGGCCCTATCGGTCACGGCCCTATCGCCCACGGCCCTATTGGCCCGGTCGGCTACGGCGCCGGATACGGCTATGGCGGCCACAGCCACGGCTACAGCATCCGGCCGACCAAGTTCATCCTAGAGGTCGGAGAGTACGGCAGTGAGGGCGGCTTCAAGGGCCACGGAGGTCACGGAGGTCACGGCGGACATGGGGGCGGCGGTGGCCACAAGGGCGGCCAGGGCGGCCACAAGGGAGGCCACAAGGGCAAGGGCGGCGGCGGCGGCCGCAAGAAGATCATCCATGTGCACCACTACCACCGCACCCCGGTGTACACCCACCCCGTACCCGTACCCGTGTACGGCGCCCCTGCGCCCGTGTACGGCGCCCCGGCTCCGGTGTACGGCGCCCCGGCCTTCCACACTCAGGGTCGCAATATTGGAGGACCCGGCCCGATCGCTGTTGGCCACGGAAACCGCGGCAGCATCTACCCCGCTCCGCGGCCGCCGGTGCACCCCATCCCCGTGTCGCCGGTGCACCCTGCTCCCGTCCACCAGCCGCACCCCATCCCTGTCCACCAGCCGCACCCCGCACCCATCCATCCCGCTCCTATCCACCCCGCCCCCATCAGTCAGGGCTTTGGACCCTTCAAGCAGCAGGGTATCACCTTTGACTCCCAGGGCGCGTCGTTCGACTCCCAGCGCGATTCGTTCATCTCTCAGGGCCCCGTGACCACCAGCACGACGACGACCATCTCTCAGGGACCGGTCATCCACTCGGACGGCGGCAGCAGCGTGTCGCAGTCGCTGGGACCCGTTCGGGAGACGTTCACCAGCAGCTCCCAGCAGGCCGAGCAGCCGCTGCCGCCCGTCTTCTCCTCGGGCAGCGCGCTGGACGTGCCCCAGTCGGCCGGACCGCTGCCGCTCGCCACCGGCGACGACAGCTTCGACGACAGCTTCCCGCCGCACGGACAGTCGGCCGGGCCGAGTGTGTCGCTCTCCGACCCGGTGGAGGTGCCCCAGCAGAACTTTGACATCAGCGCGCCGCTCAATAATGGGCTCTACTCAACCCCCAACCGGAGCTAGAGGCTTCTCTGCGCTAGCGTAGGATAGAAAATGGAGTTGCTGTGTCGGCAGAGTGTTCGAGCTTTGTGTGTCTGAGGCTGAGATACCCCAGCACTATCGAATGCTCGAACAGCAAAGAGAGTTACGTACTTAACCGCCTCATCTTTGCCTTGGACTCACGCCAGCACACTACTCTTCTTTAGCTCAATGATACTGCTCAATGCGTTGTTATGTGACTTGTTTTCTTTTTTACGGCACGAGCGATCGCACGTGTCGACTGCCATTGTGTGATTGTATCATCTGCCATTGCATGATTTTTTGTTACATACCAGTGCCAGTGGTGTGACTGGAGAGACGAAATAAACCTCAAACCAGTTATCTCGTGTGTCGCTGAAGGCACGTTCCTCCGGGACGGTGAGAGTGAAAGCAGTCGGCCGCGCGGCGACCCTGCCAGCCGGCCGGACCGGAACAGCACGCCTTTCCTAAGCAGAGCCGATGTTCGCACATCTTGTCCGCTGCAGAGATACACCGGTTTGACTCCCCCCCCCACCCCCCACCATAAGCCACCGCCCTCTCACGTTTTTCAACATGTGCGGTTTGCATCATCACATTGCGCTCCACAGCATCGATACATAGTATTTAAGTTCGCAGATTTGCAAGAGGATGTCATTCTTGGTTGGAATTTCAGAAAAAGTGAATGGCACACTCCAAACTTGATCTTCTAATTCCGCGACGCGTGGGTATTTCTAGTTGAAAGGTTGTTAGATATTGCGACTGCAGTGCACATGCTTCGCTGTCTCAGATATTAGGAAACCGCTAAAGAGCGAACGTTAACACCTATTGCATTTGATATAGCGCATTGCCGTGCATTGGGAATGTAAGTTGATATCCTGTGAAGCAATGCAGACTTTACTGAGCGCATCTGTAGATTCTCTTGTGAATCTGACAAGTGAGGCCAGATCCATGCAATTATTCGAACGAGGAGGATAGCACATGGATTTTCAAAACACGCCGAAACTATAGACTTTCGTATCACACCAGCTGGCCGACGGGAGGGGAGGGGCGTAAAGTAACTTTGAACTAAGTTTCCTCAAGATCAGTGGCATTGTCCAACACGAGAAAACTTTTCTGATGCATGTGGCCAAACCCATGCATCACAATTCGGAAGCCTATCAGCGATGAGACGTCCACCACTCCCAGACCATTATTGTTTTATCGGCGCCCATATTTCTCGGTGCGTTCGCGTCGCGTCCGATTGGGGCCACCGATCGCTCTCAGAGGGGACACGGCAGCGCGGCCGGTCGCCACCGCGCTCTGTCGTCATCGCTCGCAGGGGAGCTGACTCGGCCTGCCGCCACGAGCGTGCTCAGACAGTGGTCCTCAGGGGGCAGCGGGGGACACTCAGACAACCACTTCAGGGTGCAGGAAGTGGGGAGGGTGCAGCCATACCACAGGGGCGCGACAATCACCTTAGCAAGGAACCTAGTGCGGACGTAATGAGACAGCCGCCTACACGTATTCGATTTTCATCAGCCACTTTCTGTCCGATTTCCGTCATGATGCCATTTCTGGCTTTATGAATCAGTTTGATTGTGGTCTGCATGGGCAACTTATGAAAAAAGCTGACGAACTGCAAAGAACACACCCGTCTTCTCTTCCCTTGTTGCTCAGGGTCATGTTTTTGCACACTACATATACCTTTTCTGATCTGACAAGGTTACACGGTGCCTCGACGGTGACCAGTGGAGGGCGGATCTGAACGGAAAATATCCTCCGCGGTAACCGTTTGAGTGGACTTGGTTCGTCCCGACTACCGACGAGACAGGAGCAGTCCGACTCCCTGCAGCGACCAGTCGGTGATCGACTTAGCGAAATGTCTCACACCACCCTCTTACTCTTCGGAGTTAAAGACTTTAGTATTATCATATACTGAAGGGACATAACTGAACAAAGAAAAAACAACAAAAAACGAAAAGATGGAAATACCTAACCTTCATGACCTTAAACGATCGGCGAAAAAGAGACAAAAAGCGCCCAAAATCTTGCTACATTCCGAAAATAGCGTCTCCTTGCAAGCCCTGTAAAATCACGGCATTTTGGAGCGTGAAGGGTTCACACTAGCAATATGAACTGGAGAGTTCGTTTACTCCCAAATTCCCGTAATTTCTCACTGCTCCCCCAGTTGGGCGCCTGGCACCGCCCCTGGTCGATACCGCGCCGACGACAGGGCACCACTCGGCCCGGCGCCCGGGACGATCTGGCCGGGTCGGCGCACCGTCAGCCGTCGGGGGCGACGCTGGCCGTCGGAGAGCAGCGGCACCGACGGCAGTGGCTCGTCGACGGCGACGGAGAGAGGAGGAGACACACCCAGAGAGGCACGGAGGAGAGCCACCCGCTGGTGCTGCAGCCATGAGGTCAGTGACAGGATCAGCTGGGATTTGGTTGAAACACGGTAGGTATGAGGCTAATGGTGGTAGTTTTAGGGCGCACCAGCAACGAAGCTATATGGATGTGAGGCTAATGTCGTCAGCATCATGCTGATGTAGGAAACTTCTAAGTGAAGATTTAGCGTTCTTTCGTGTCATGGAATGAACTTGTTCATGGTCAGGAGCGTCTTATAAACGTTTCTCTTTCGATTGCGTCAACATTTTGACTCTTTATTCATAGCCCATGCTTTCAGCAAAGTACTTAGCCTTATACCACGTTATCATCACTTTTGGCGATCATTGAGTTTTATCAGCGTGTCTTTCAGTCCTTAACCAAAGCAAACTAGCCCATGAATCCATGAGCATCCAGTCAATAACGTATCCAGCCTGCTGTTTTTTTAACTGTAAATAAAATAAAGAAATATAAATTGAAGCCACAGGTATCGGTATAGATAACATGGTGTAGTCATTTTGGTAAAAACGCAATCGGCTATGGTATTTGGAAAACATGCTTTAGAATTGGAGCTGGTGGAATAAAGACTAACTCGTGATTAGCATTTGAATTGGCATAAACAACCGATTAGCATTTTAAAGACAAGAAAATGAAGATGTTGGGGACAAAAAGAAACACTGAGCTAGAAATAAAGAGACATGCCTCTGCCAATTCATTGGTAGATTTAGAAACTTCCACCGATTGAGGTTATCGAATAGGAAACTCCAGCAAAAGACTAAAAATGTATACCTACCCATAGGATCAATGTATTTTTTTAACATTTTTGCTGGGATTTTATTGTACAGAAACAATTCAACGGCTCATCAACTTCTTCCAATAGCAACAGCTTCTTTTTTCGTCGTATTCATTTCCGACCTTCTGATTGCCATCGAAAAGGTCCTTATCTCTAACATCCGACGCTGCTCACGATGAGCGCAGTGTGCAGACCGTTTCGTTTGATACGCCTCGATGGCGGTCACTTTGTCTTTCGCCGCTCTCTGATGGACACCACATATCTCTCCGCCTCCCTGGGAGAGAGAGAGAGAGAGAGAGAGAGAGAGAGAGAGAGAGAGAGAGAGAGAGAGAGAGAGAGAGAGAGAGAGAGAGAGAGACAGATAGAGAGGAGAGAGAGAGACAGAGAGAGAGAGAGAGAGAGAGAGAGGGAGAGAGAGGGATGAGGAGGAGGAGGAGGAGGAGGAGGAGGAGGAGGAGGAGGAGGGACAGATGGAAGAGGATGCCCTACGTCGTGGGTTATTGTTTTATTACACTACACACAGTTGTAATTATTGTGACGACCGTCGTCTTAGGATGTAGGTCTGTGATTTAATTGATCCACATAATTCATATAAGAATAATATATGATTGACTATAGTTTGTGTAGTTTGTAGAGTGCACTTTTATCATGACCAGAGTTGCTGAGAATGTGAGTTGCTGAGAGAGCTGCTTATTGACCTTATAACGTACGGATATCAGCTAGAATAATAATTACGGAGCTGACTAGTTCTCACCGGATATTTGAATTTGTTATTTTCATTAGGTCGTTTATCATTTTCCCAAAGATGCGATAAGTTATCACCTAGGTGCCAGTAAGACGCGTAAGTGCTATAACAGGAACAAGTATTGAACTCTACGAATAGTAGCGCGATTCTAAGCAAAACGATCAGGAGCACCCATCCCCCTCACCTATACCGCTCAATGTCATGACATCGCATTTGGCCAACGGCCGAGAGGTGCTGAAGAGAGTAACATCGAAGCTGACGGGAATGCAATCTCCCCACGATCCCAACTCGATTACTGTTCTGAAGTTTGGAGCCAGATAGCGTCAGCAGTGTCAGCACGGTGTAACAATGTCTGAACGTTTTCAGCGAACTATCCAGCGAAAGGCTGGTTGGCGTCGGTCCAACAAGATCATTCCCATTCTGCTGGCAACACTTCGTGAAAATTGTGATAATAAAGATTCTAAACATGAATCTGAAATTAGGACACAATCCTATGATATTACCAGGTCAATGTTAGGAACGTTGTTTTCTCTATTGACCTGAAGCTTTGAGCAGGACATTGAGGTTCAGGGTACCACTGAGAGCCCGCCCGTTGAACTCGGCGACCGAGGGAAGGGATTTGCCGCCGCCCAGGGCCAGAACGGCGCTTGGTCGATGACTTTTTATTCCGATAGTAAACACTAGAATGAAGAGTAGCTCGGCAATAAGTAGACGCTTCACCAGAAAAGCAGTCAAACAACGGGCATGTTCTGACATCCTATACACAAAATTTTCATTCATCTCAAGCCTGACGCACTTTACCATATGACGCACTTTTTATGCCATATGTCCATGTTTGGTGCTAAGTCTCACATATGCCCATATGCCCATGGTGCTAAGTCCTCACATGGCCACATGACCATGGACATACGGTATAACTAGCATTGATCTCCACAAAGATAACGTTGCTGTTGTCGCATTTGGTGCAGCATAAGCATGTTTGCATGATAACTTTGGCCTTTCTTTTTGTTTGTTTGTTTGTTTTGTTGGGTTAGGCCCTTTCGGTCGACAAGACCATTGCAGAGCCGGAAGGATGATAGGAATTAGGGGGTGACAGTGGTCTGGGCAGGCACCCTAGTGAGTCGCCGGGGCTGAGCCCGTCCAGAGGACAGGCCACCCAGCCCCTAGGCACTCACTGCACCCGGCTACGGGGTGCGCTCCCTCAGGAGCAGCGGTGCCGCTCCAAGGGAGCAGCCCGCATGAGATAAAGTTGCCTGTCCAGCCCGGAGGGGGATTGCGGCTTGGAGGAGAAGGATTTCTGAATCCTGAGGATAGAAGCACGGATAGGTGTTGGCCTTTCGCCTCTATGTAGACTATAGCGGAATGATGATAGGTATTTGTAGCCTGTATGTACCATATAATACCCTAATCCTGCTAATCACTAAGAACATAATTACAACTGAGCATTTTGTTTTATCTAGAGGCTAAATTGGATGGTTCTGGCTGCCGTCTGGTGTCACCCCAGTCACTGGGCTCGGCGGTACAGCCTGCATTTAGGCGCTCACTCGTGCTGCCATCTAGTGACGAGGTGGTTAATCAAAGCTGCGGTGAATGGGCAGCACTTATTGCGGAAGGCTGTCGGCCGGTAGGTGGCGCAAAAGTCTCTCTATCCATCCCTCAGCCTCTGCCTCTGTCTCCTCGTCTCTTTCTGTCTCTGCTTAGTGTCTCAACATCTGGGCTGGGCTTTAGTGTCTATGTTTTGTTTGTCTGTTTGTCCGTCTCTCCGTCCGTCTGTCCGTCCTTCTGATCGACTCCGTCTTTCTGTTCTGTCCGTCTGTCCGTCTGTCCATCTGTCCGTCTGTCCATCTGTCCGTCCGTCCGTCCGTTTTGTTCGTCATCACTAGGAGCTATGTAACCGTGTTACCGTGGCGCGATGCCAGTAGGAGCTATTACAGAAGTGGTTGTATCGTCTGATTGAAACGTGGTGCATATCGTCAAACGTAGTCTGGTTTGTTTGTTTGTTTGTTTTGTTGGGTTAGGCCCTTTCGGTCCAATTAGACCATTTCAGAGCCGGAAGGATGATAGGATATAGGGGGAAACATTGGTCTGGGCAGGCACCCTAGTGAGTCGCCGGGGCTGAGCCCGTCCAGAGGACAGGCCACCCAGCCCCAAGGCACTCACTGCACCCGGCTCCGAGGTGCGCTCCCTCAGGAGCAGCGGTGCCGCTCCAAGGGAGCAGCCCGCATGAGATAAAGTTGCCTGTCCAGCCCGGAAGGGGGTGGCGGAGTGGAGGAGAAGGATTTCTGTTTCCTGAGGATAGAAGCACGGATAGGTGTAACGTAGTCTGGCTGAGTGCGGTGGACTCACTGAGCGGCGGTACCACTGTGTGTTCCCAGATGGCACCTGGCCTGCAGTCTGCTGCTCCTGCTGCTACTGACAACGCTCAGCTCAGCTCTCAAGTGTATCCGGTGTAAGAACTGCGCCGCCAAGTACGAGGAATCCCAGTCAGTGCGCTGTGACCCCGACAAGGACACGTGTCAGGTCAGGTCAGGGTGCGGTGTCGGGCTCATGACTGCCCCTGCAGCGTGGTACGATAGATCAGCGAATTGGGGTAACTAATGCTAGTCTCTGCTCTATGCCCATGACGCGTCTCTGCTCTATGGTTTGACGATGCGGCTAACAGTTTATGGCATGTCGCTTGATGCATCGGTGCTGCTTCCATTTTACTGAAGATTAATAACGGGAAATGTTCGGTCCCCCGTCACATTCTGCGAAATTTGTCGTTGCTCCCAGCCCGCTTGCTGAAAGACGAGCGTCATTTATTTTACTCCCGCTCATAAAATGCCGTGTAGCCTTACGAGGCCGTTTGTCTTAGTCACCATCTATTGTTTTATGTACGAATGGGGCGGAAAGCTTTACACCAATTATTTATCCTTCTTTGAATATAGCGCTTACATCCAGTTTTTTTTTTTAATCGTCAAAATAAAACTGGGCATTGACGAGTCTTGAGGGTAGTATTGGATGCTACAGGACGACAAACTGCCCCCCCCCTCCAAAAAACAATCTTTGAGCAAAGGAAACTGACCGAGGATGAAATATTTGCCTCGGGCAGTATGCATTTTTTCGTGGAGTTAATATGTGTGGCATTTATATGGCCGGCAGTGATTGCTACTGACCGGAAAACCATCATCGCTCTGAGCTCCATCGTTGCTCGCGGCGGCGGCTGGTGGTCGCCCACCAACCGAGTTCGCCAGTCTCTCGCGGACGATCAATCGCGCCGGACGTCAGGAAAGCGGGAGCCGTAGGTGCCCCTCCCCCTCCCCCCGGGCGCTGATGAGTCCGTCCTTCAATGGTGAGCGGAACGCCACCGGTCACTCTCTGCCGCGTGGCCCTCTGATGGAGCCCCTGGCCGCGACGCGGTCTGCTCGGCCCATCGCAACGCGAGTAAAGATGGCGCCCTGGTCCGGCGGCCTGCCCTGTTCATTCTTATCCTCCCGGCTCATCCTCGGCCGGCTAACGACGAGCGCTTCCGCACTGGGCCAACAGCGATTACCGCCCACTGTCTGCCGCTTTCCTAACGGCCTGAGACGTCTTTGTTGCACGTCACGCCCACCGGTTCGGGGTAGAATGGCACGGGGAAGATAATGAAAAAGTTGAGATGGGTTGGCATCGTCGTGCGGTGCTGGATTTAATCTCGTTCGCGAGCTGGTGAACAAAAACGATGCCTCATTCATCTCATTTCTCTTTCAGTGGCTACGGATAAAGAATGGCCAGATGGACAGAGACTGCGGGAAGAAAGCCGACTGCGGCAGCAGTAAGTATGGTCGGGGCGGTCGCGTGCTCTGCCTTTCTCCCTATCGGCTTTGCAATAAAAAACGAATATTAGCTTTGGAAACTCACACATCCTAAGCTCCTAAGTTTGGGGCTGGTGGAATCGAGCCAATAATAACAGTGGAAGTTTGACTATAACTCACGCCACTGCCGGCCGAAGCAATTTAACTCTGGCGGCACCAGTCCCCGAGGAGATGATCCTAATTTAAACGAGCCTATTGCAGCGTTGGCGATATAGATACGGCTAGGCTGGGGGTCACTTGGATGGACCGTTTGCTCTCGTAGGTACTTAGACCTTCAGATATGAGCTTAACGTTGAATAATTTATGATTGTCTGTACATTATAAAAAATCCCCTCCTCGGATGGCAAAAATGATGTAAAGCTGTTCAGATTCAGACCAGCGCCAACCCCTAGATGTCTGAATCAGGTAATGAGGTCAGCGCAAACCCCGTCCCGCCCCTTACTTTAGATTTTTAATATGGTAGCCTATGAGATTGGATTGGATCAAGTTGCATAGTACAATAACGTGATTGTGGAGGGCGAGGCGAGTTTTGAACGACCTGACACCATCATCAAAAGCCCAACATGATGCTGATAGCTAAGCGTCCCGAGCTCAACGAGAGTAAAATGCATATCTCTGTCCGGAAATATCAGTAGCATTTATGTCGATAACCACGCCTTTTATTTTCAGGCACGTTACTGCACTACCAGATGGTCGACTGCTGCGATGGCAACAACTGTAACGGAGCCAGCTCCGGCGGCAGTTCGCTGTGGCTGCTGGCAGCTCCCTCCTTGCTTCTGGTTCCGGCACTGCGGCGGCTCTGAGATGTGTCCCTTCCTCAGCCGGGCTGGTTCTGAAAGGCACCCTTCCAATCTGCTTGTCGCCGCATTTCACCAGCTGAGAGGTGTCACTTCGTTAGCCGGGCCGGTTCTGAAAGACCGGCGCGTTCAGATCGTTGCTGTATCTCTGAGAGGTGCTCCTCCCTACCCCGCCGTGCGCCTGAGAAGTAGCTGTCGTGCGGCGGCCGTTCCTGAGCCACTGCGGCGGCTCTGAGAGCTATCTCCTCTTCCTGAACCGCTGCGCTGGCCGTTAGGCGCCCTCCTGGGTAATGGCTTCCGCGTCACGCCGGCCCTGAAAGTCTTCTCTCTGTGCTGAGTAAGCTCTAAGAAGCTTCTCTCTGTGCTGAGTCAGCTCTAAGAAGCTTCTCTCTGTGCTGCGTCAGCTCTAAAGAGATTCTCTCTGCCCCGCACCAGCTCTGAAGGCCGCTGCACTGGCTGTCAGCAGCTGCTGCTGCCAGCCACGGCAGCCCAACAGAAAATCTGGTGGCCCGGCCAAATTCGCATGGCGCAGGTGCTCTGTCTTCGGCGACAGCTGCATAAGGAGGAAACAGGCGCCAAATTGTAGACGGCAAGCGTAAAAGTATCGGGTTTGCCATTTTGCCAAAGGGGATGGGTGTTATCGTTGTGTGTTAGAGGGAAATGTGATATTTTAGACTACTGAAACAATAGGTGAATAGTGGTTTTAGCGATAATGAAGCAGCTACATTTGTAGCTAGATCCTTATAAGTAAGGACAATTTGTTGAAGGGGTATGGTATGAGCACTTGCTGCGACGCTGTGGGACGTTCTCGTAGGTTACATTACAATGTACTGTCCCCAGGGGCCATTTTCTTTGGGTTTGGACGTCACATGGCATTTCGTAATTGGTTGTAAGGTAAATGTTGTCAATTTTCAATACTTTGTAAAGAAATGTATCATGTCCAGCATTTATTTGGAGCTCTTTACTTCTATTTTTAGCGTTGCGCAATACGCTTTTGCATGTCTGTATGCATTATTTTCCGAATAATGTAACTCATATGTCGACAATAAATGTAATGAATTGTTTTATGTACATCTACGTCACTACTGAAATCGATATCTACATGACTAAAGCTGGATGTATAACCGATCCCATCGCCGTCGAATGACGGTCTAGCGTAAAGGTTAGGAACCCATTCATACATACATATATCGATGCTATGTGTGCTGCGATTTGTTTTCTTCAAAGTAATTGATTCGTTATTCAGAACATAGAGCGCAAAAGACAACAAGTGACCGGTCAATAATTCTAAGTCATCTATAAATTTGAATATCCTTGATGCAGACTCATAACCAAATATTCATGTCATGCATGTATCGACAAAGCACACAGGAATCATTTAGGCCAGAGGTGTGATACTTTAGATATTAGTTGTGCTTTTGTGTTATCTTTCAATAGCTGTATACAAAAGCCTCATGCCTTATCACAAAGTAAAGATCCTCTTTGTAAGCAGCACATCCTTCTCGCTGTGACATTGTTGGATAATAATGCTGCCCACAGCAGATCTGACGAGCGCAAACACAGCACACTTGTCACATCATTCCGAGTAGAATGCATCTGAGTCGCTCGTCTTTCCGCGTCGGTGCTCCGCTGAGGCAGCGAGACACGAGTGGGCGAGGCAGAGAGCGCCGGACTACATCAAATAACAGCAATGTGGCACCGGACTACATCAAATCATAGCAATGTGGCGCCGGCCTACATCAAATCATAGCAATGTGGCGCCGGTCTACATCAAATCATAGCAATGTGGCGCCGACCCATATCACAGCACCGCAGGGGCGCGGCGGCCGGCATATCACAGCATACCACATCATATCACATCACATCACCACTCAACTCAACACAACACATCACAGCACAGAGCGAGTGGAAAGACGTCAAATCACAATCACATCAAGGATTGCGGCATGGAAGCATTACATCAAGGCGCGACTTTGTTGGCTCATATCACCTTACATGATCTGCCAAATAATGATATGACATGACGTCACATCACATAATTACTGTAGTAGAAGGCATATTACATAGCATCGCGGAGGACTGGGAAATCACATCACAGTAGAGTCGGGAGTCGACCTCCAGACGTCAACCTCCCCACTCGATTCGCTCCATTGGCTGCCGAACGGGAGGACGGAACCATTTCAGGGCGGCAGTGGCGCAGCCATTGACCTTTCTTTACGGGCGCTAAGTCTGTCAGGCGCCGCTGGCATTCGCTGCTTTATTCCGGCCTCCATGGCAGACTGTTTGACTCATGTCAGAAGCGCTTTGAAACGATGAGCTACTCGTCGTCGGAGGCCGTTGCAATATCCACTGAATGACCTCTCAGGCCAGAGCCCTGCTCCATCAGAATGATGAGGTCATGATGGTCCCGTTGACAGAGCTCTCATCACATCAGTGTGGCAGCTTCACTAATACAACCCCCACAGAGACGTTCCATCAGACAAAACGTAAACGGAGATGATGGCACTGTAGTCAATGGCGATACAATGATGACTCGTTGACAAAAGATAATCTGGCTTGCCAGAGACGGGTGACACCGTGGTAATTATATTAACGCCAGAGAAATGCGATGTGCTGTGATATGTCACAAAGCAGACAAAATGTCATCACGGCTAACAAAAACGATAATTGTATGGCTTCTCTAGGAAAGCTGCGATAATGTCTGTCATCGAAGACCGTTGTAGTCAAGCTCACAGGGGGAGCTATGCTGCTATCACATAATGCGTTCGGTCCAGTACTTACGGTAACGATCGATCGATCTGGCGCGAATAAACCAGCCGAGTGTGTCTGGCACTGACACAGAGAGGTCTGGTATGCTCGATACAACTGATCCAAGAGTGGATCTGACACGGGGAAAAGTCGAGAGTGTTTGGCATACAGAGGACGTCAAGGGTTTATGCCTGGCACAGGGGAGGTTACAGGGTCACGAGTGGAGCCCGCACTCATGGGAAGTCAGGCGTAGATGGTGAGGTGCCGTTATCCCCTGTGCCAGCCTTTTCATTTATCAGCCCGGTGATCCAGCTCGGTATCACGGGCGCGTCTGTAGTACGTTCCTGCCCAGCACACGGCTGTCCCGGCCGATAGCGCGGTCCGGGCCAGTCGCTCCACACGCCGGATCGCCTCCTGCCGGCTGATTACCCCGCAGAGCTCTGCTCCGCTCCTCTGCCGGTGGCACTCTTCCTTTCTGCATCGACCGCCGTTCCGCCGGACGGTTCGCGCCCATCGGATACACAGCATATCAACACGATACAGTCCAGTGGACCAGCGACTCGTTCTGTTGACGATTCCAGTCCATCTTCCTTTTCCGAGAAATGGGCTTCCTGAGAAAGATTGCGAAGTAATGGCGAGGAGAATGCCTTGACGATTTTTTTTATTTCACGAGAACTTCGAGTGATGCCCATAGAGTCAGCGTTTATAAAAGCGGCGGATCTCGAGTGGTCTAAAATTATTTCTAGCGATGGATGTACAATTTCAGATTTCGCCATACTTGCGTCCGAGCTAGAAATAACTAAACCGATTCAGCTGAACTTTTGCTGACCAGCACACACTCAGCTTACGCTCAACTCATTCATTCATAAATCATAAAGCTCGCTCAGCTGTCCAACCCAGCTCGCTCAGCCTACCAGAGTCGATCGGTCCTCTCACGCCCTACCCTTCATCTTTTCATTTCAGGCCCATAGCAAGAATATGCTTACTTGGGTTCAACTGATGATAGCTGAACCGGAAATGTCTTCTTTTCTCATAAATAGTTATACTTATGCAATATGCATGCATACTTATGATGTAATTCAAAATAGCAGGCACATTATTATCTTTTTTACATCCTTGATAGCTCGAGTGTTGCTATAACATCAGAACACTTTGAGGTGCAGTTAGCCCCCAGGACCCTGTGCGCACCGCTCTCATCATCAAATAATTAATAGCTTCTAATAATACCAACGGGTCAGAAGGTATGTGGTGAATACGGGGCTACAAACTTTCTAGATTGAAAACTGATAACCGGTTGGCTGCATTTGCTCCAAACTACAAGTGTCTAATTCCACTGCCTAAGCGCTTAGGAATGCCTGGAATAGGAGGGAAAATGATAATTCCATACGTGCATAATACGTTCTTGAAAATTAGGAAATCCGTGCTGTGCCTGACCGAAACGGAAGGCAAGCACTGCACTGCAGTGAGCTTATTTGAATTTTGGATTCAGCTGGGCTTATAGCCAGCGAGTTGTGCCAACGGAGCATTTCAGCAATAATGAGATAATAATTTGTCGCGTTAATTTAACTGTTCACGCTGTTAAATTGTAAGTTAATGGATTGAAAAGACAATACAGCAAGCTTCCTTTGCTTAGATTTTGCTAAACAAAATACATCCGTTTTGCTTTTACTAAATAAAAAGCACATGGTAGTGAATGAGCTTAAAGGGACTATCCCACCTTCTAAAATGTTGTTAAAACCAGTTAAATTGTGCCCGACTTTATAGATTGGATGACCAGGAACACGGTTCTGGCATTTATTTTTCATTAAACATCTTAGGCTTCCCATATTCCAAACACAAACTTTCAAATATGTGACGTCACAGCCCAAAATTACCTCCTTCCCCAGGTCACATTACTGTCATAAAGCTGATTCTTTTTACTCTGTAGGCACCACAACAAAGTTCAGACCAAGTTTTAAGCGATTTTTCAACGAACAAACCCATTTAAATCAGAATGACTAAACGAGGTGACGTCACACTAACGGTCGCTCCATGTTGAAGATAGCAAGATTACTTTACTACTCGAAGATAGGGCCTTGTACAAGGCCCATTTTCAAATGAAGGGAACGAATTTCTTCAACACCAAGAGGCCGCGGGGGTTGCAACCTAGATAGATATAGGTTTCTGAACCTCGCCACAAACTTGGCTATCTCAACTCAAACCCCATGTTAAAGGTGGGATAGTCCCTTTAATCTGACGTACACGCTACAAAGACTTCGTACTACTGAGCGCATTGTGGGCATAAGACCAATCCAAGTATGTCATGGACGCATAGTAAATCCCTGCATAGAACTTGTTATCCTGTTCAAGGGCTTTACATATTAGCTGCCTTAGCAGAGAAGGTTTGTCAGCAATAGCCTAAACACCTGGCCAAGGCGGAATACTGATTGATTGATTTATTGTTTTTCTTTTTACAGAAGTAATTAGCTGTCCAGATTGTCCGAACCTACACGATGAGATCATGCACGCTATCAACAATATAAACAGCTGCAGTGTCCGAGGAAGGGCATGGGGAGCGGGAGACTCCTCGAGGACAGTGTAACTGATTCATGCGAGTATGTCATACTCGTATGAGCCACTGCGCCAACCAGCCTCAAAGTCCAATTGGAGATCAGATTGTTTGCGACTTTTCTTGAACGTTCAGGTGCTCTTCAGTTTTGGGGAAAATGGTTACACTATTCATTGCTCAGCATATTAAAAAATACATGATCCTGAAACGATCAACAACTTTTATCAAGTTATTAAATAGTTAAACCATTGCACTAGTCAACTCCTGGTATCGACCGCGTCGACTAGAAATTCCCTTATTGGGTTGATTGGCCTTCTCGAAAAATCTCCAATCCATTTCTACGTCCGTGCATCTGTAATGCCAATGTTTGCGCACCACTTGAGTGGCAGCACTGCTCCTTATGGGCTGAGGCGTAACACCTTCTATGGTGAATCCAGTTCTACAAGGTCTCAGTAGGGGCCACGTTCCGTGGTCCGACTGAAAGGAGCTTATTCAGCCTGGCTGGCCCCGTTACCAGCTTCCCGGTCCCGATTGTCGGAGGAGAAGTGAAGTGGTGTATCGTCATGTGGGCGAGACACCACCCACTCGGCCGGTACTTCGGTGGTAAGTCTTTGGTAAAGTGTGCTACTTGAAGAAAAAACTACGACAGCGGTGATATGACATAAATCAGCAACAAAGTCAGATCTGCTCGTGACCAACGGAGACGTTTAAATATCTAGCGAAATATCTGGATATACAGGAATTCTTGAGTAACTTTGTCTCTCTCAT